AAAGTAAGCCTTAATAAATTTAAAAACATTGAAATACTGCAAAGCATCTTCTCAGATCACAATGCTATAAATTAGAAATCAACAATAGGAAGATCAATGGAAAAAGAGCAAACACATGGAAAGTGAACAACATCCTCCTTAAGAAAATCTGGATAAGAGAAGAAATAAAAATAGAAATTAAAAGAATTCCTTGAATCAAACAAGAATGAAAACACAACATACCAAAATCTTTGGGACAAAGCAAAAGTAGTGATCACAGGACAATTTGTAGCAATAAATGCATACATCAAAAATGAAGAAAGATCCAAAATCAATATCTTAACCCAACATCTCCAACATTTAGAAAAAGATTAGCAAAATAATAATAATAACAAAGCCTACAGTCACCAGAAGAAAAGAAATAATAAATATTCAAGCAGAAATAAATGAAACAGAAAATAGACACTAGAAAAAAATCAACAAGACTAGAAGTTGATTTTTTGAAAAGATTAATGAAATTGAAAAACCACTGGCAAATTTAACAAAGGAAAACAGGGAGAGAATACAAATAACACGAATGAGAAATGATTTGAGTGATGTCACAACAGAACCAACAGAAATTAAAAAGGTAATATCAAGATACTATGAAGAACTATACTCCAAAAAATTTGAAAATCTAGAAGAAATGGACAGATTTCTAGAAATATGCTACTTACCTAAACTAACATAGACTGAGGTGGAAAATTTGAACAGACCCATAACAAAAGAAGAAATTGAACAGGTTGTAAAAAAATTATGAACAACAACAAAAAGCCCTGGCCCAGATGGTTTAACTGGAGAATTCTACCAAACATTCAGAGAAGAACTGACACCGATGCCACTCAAAACTATTCCAGAACATAGAAAAGGATGGAATCCTCCCAAATTCATTTTATGAAGCAAACATAACCTTGCTACCAAAACCAGACAAAGACATCACTGAAAAGGAAAACTACAGACCAATATCTCTCATGAATGTATATGCAAAAACGTTCAACAAAATCTTAGCCAATAGACTCCAACAACATATCAAAAAAATAATACAGTATGACCAAGTGGGGTTCATATCAGATATGCAAGGATGTTTCAACATTAGAAAAACAATCAACGTCATCTATCACATAAATGAAGGAAAAGAACCACATGATCATATCAATTGATGCAGAACAGGCATTTGATAAAATCCAACACCCATTCCGGATGAAACTCTCAGCAAAATGGGAATAAAAGGAATTTCCATTCCTTAACATAATAAAGAGCATATATGCAAAAACAACAGCCAACATTATTCTCAATGGACAGAGACTGAAACCATTCCCCTTGCAAACAGAAGCCAGTCAAGGATGCCCTCTATCACCACTTCTATTCAACATTGTGTTGGAAGTCCTAGCCCAGGCACTAAGGCAAGAAAGGGAAATCAAAGGCATCCAAATTTGTAAAGAAGAAGTCAAACTATCCCTATTTGCTGATGATATGATCCTATACCTAGAAAACCCAAGAGACTCAGCAAAATAACTACTGGAACTAATTGAGAGATTTAGCATAGTGGTGGGATAAAAGATCAACATCCAAAAATCAGTTGGATTCCTCTACACCAGCAAAGAGATTGCTGAAAAAGAAATAAGGAAATCAATACCATT